ACAAGAGAAAGAAATTAAAGCAATAAAGATAGGAAAGGAAGAAGTTAAACTGTCATTATTTGCTGATGATATGATACTCTACATCGAAGACCCAAAAAACTCCATCAAAAGACTTCTAGACTTAATTGGCAGATTCAGTAGAGTATCTGGATACAAGGTGAACACCCAAAAATCAATAGCCTTCTTATACACAAATAACAGACTCACGGAGAGAGAAATAAGGGAAAAAATTCCTTTTACAATAGCATCCAAAAAAATGAAGTATCTAGGAATCAATCTAACAAAAGAAGCAAAAGATCTCTATACTGAAAACTACAGCACTCTGAAAAAAGAAATTGAAGAGGATATAAAAAAATGGAAAGATATCCCCTGCTCCTGGGTAGGAAGAATCAACATAGTGAAAATGGCCATACTACCAAAACTGCTATATACATTCAATGCAATGCCAATTGAAATTCCAACACTATATATTACAGAACTAGAAAAAAGAATCCAAAAATCCATTTGGAACCATAAGAGACCTAGAATAGCAAAAGCCATCTTAGGCAACAGACACATGGCACCGGGTATAACAATTCCCAATTTGAAACTATACTACAAAGCCACTGTGATAAAAACAGCATGGTACTGGCAAAGAAACAGGCCTGAGGATCAGTGGAACAGAATGGAAGACACAAAAACAAACTGAGATGTACTCAGCTACCTCATCTTTGACAAAGGAGCTAACCATCCTCAGTGGAGGAAAGATAGCCTCTTTAATAAACGGTGTTGGAATAATTGGATTTCAACCTGCCACAGATTAAAACTAGACCCTTATCTTTCACTACGCACTAAATTAAAATCCAAATGGATTAAAGATCTAAATATTAAAACAGAAACATTAAACTTGCTGGAAGGTAAGTTAGGCAGAACTCTAGAAGACATTGGCAAGAAAAGACTTTATGAACAAATCCTCAGTAGCACAGGAACTAGCAGATAGAATCAATAACTGGGATCTCATCTTATTAAAAAGCTTCTGTACTTCAAAAGAAACCATCAGCAGAACTAAGAGACAACCTATAATGTGGGAAAAAATTTTCATAAGCTGTTCCTCAGACAAAGGACTATTATCAAGAATATATAAAGAACTCAAAACAATCAGCCCCCCCAAATATAAAGACCCAATTCAAAAATGGGCATCCGAAATGAACAGACATTTCTCAGACAAAGAAGTAAAAGCAGCAAGTAACTATATGAAAAAATGTTCCACATCACTGATCATTCTAGAGATGCAGATGAAAACAACACTGAGATTCCACCTCACGCCACAAAGAACAGCTGCTATCAAGAAATCACACAATAACAAATGTTGGCAGGGTTGTGGGGAGAAAGGAACCCTTCTCCATCATTGGTGGGAGTGCAGACTGGTGCAACCACTATGGAAATCAATATGGAGATACCTCAAAGAGCTTGGACTGGGGATTCCATTTGACCCAGCCATAGCTCTGCTGGGTATCTTTCCAAAAGAACTAAAAGAATCATATCACAGAGAAGTACGCGCACCCATGTTTATAGCGGCACAGTTTGTAATAGCTAAAATCTGGAAACAGCCCATTTGCCCATCCGTTGGAAACTGGATAAAGAAGATGTGGTTTTTCTATAAAATGGAATATTACTCAGCCATAAAGAATGAGAAAACAGATTCATTCATAGGAAAATGGATACATATTGAAGCTATACTCCTAAATGAAATAAATAAGGCACACATGTGTAAATACCGAATAGTTTCTCTGGTGTGAATAATCTGCAATAATACAGAAGATCCTAATAAGATTACTGACATTGAGAAATGGGAAGAAAGGAGCTAAAGGTGTAGGGAAGGTGGGACAGGCAGGGGAAGGGTAAAAAGGGAAAAGAAAAAAATGTGAGATGGAAATAAAGTGGTTGTAGACGGGGAGGAGGGGGTGAAGGGAGGGCAGGGACAAGGGGAAAAAATGAGAACCAAGACTTGTCATGTAGAGGTACAAGATCCCAACAATGAATGTAACTGTACTGTATCCCTAAAATGTACCAATAAACTCAATTAAAGCTGAAAAAAAAGAAAATCACTTCCAGATTCCACAAAACATCACAGGCCAGATTTACTGGGATATCTACATTCCTCTAATTATCTTAATTACTACAATAATTACTACTAAGCCTTCAACATCATGTGACTTCACCAGGCATACAGGCACCTGCTCATGGATCAGCTACTCACCAAATGTCAACACAACAGGAGGAGAAGTCAGATTTCTCAGATAGCTCACCTTTTTTGTTGTTCTTGATATTTTTGTTGTGAATAATTTGGGGGCCTTTCTTCCCTTTAGTAAAAACATGTGAAATAGAGAGATTAAGCTCTGAAATGCAAAATGCTCTTCACAATGTGATAGCAATCCTTTAAAAGTAAAAGTACCTTAAAAAAATCAACATAAATCAGGCTCCTGATAATAGATTCTTATCAAACATTAGGAACACTTCCTCCTAATACTGTGGCTACATCTGACTTTATTACTTTACATGAAGTGCTTAATTGCTCTTTATCAAAGAGAAGGAAGGAGGGAAGGAATAAATATGAGAAAAGGAAAAAATGGAAATAGTCTTTCATAAATAGGGAGGTGGAAGGGTTGAAGGGAGGGTAGGGGAATGGGGAAAAAAATAAAAACCAAGATAATATTATGAAAATATATTTTATATATATTATGAACATATATTTTAGGTATACTGCATATACCTAAAATGTACCAATAAAATTCAGTGTAATATAAAATTTTTTTTTTAAAGAGAGTGAGAAGGAGAGGGAGAGGGAGTAGCACTTTATTTCTCTCCCTCTCCTCTCCTGGGGACTGAACCAGGGCTTTCTTACTGAGCTACAACCCCAGATCCCCAGATTCTCCCTCCTTTTTTACTTTTGAGACAGTGTCACTATATTGTCCAGGCTGGTCTCAAACCTGTGATTCCCCCTGCCTCAGTCTCGGAGTGCTGGGACTACAACAGGTGTATGCCACCACATCCAGAAAATTCTATTTCTAATAACATTGGGACAGACACTGCTTAAAAGATTTATATCAGCAACGAAGCGGGCTGAGGCTCAGCAACAAGACAAAAGACCAAGAAGACAAGACAAAACCATGTGGATAAATGTCATTTAATCTTATGCTTTATTGCTTTAGGTTGCTTCCAATCTACAAAGAGACAGCTAAATAGCAGGCCCTCAATTAAATCAATGTCTACATCTAGGATTATAAATTTTGATGGAATAAGTAAATAACAAACCTAGAATTAAATCCTGGCCAGCCAGCTACCAGCAAATGCAGTACTGGTAATAAAGATTGGGGATGTGGGGGTAGAGGTGGCTCTGGATCTTGGAATAAAACCATGGGAACTCAAATGCACTAAATAAGCACTGTGCTTTCTACTACCAAATGCAGACAGAGTACTTCTTGTAGTCTGATTCCAGCTTCTAAATAAAAGAGGGTTTACTCCATTCTTAATGCATAAACTTAGGCTTTTTATAGCCTAAGCAGTGTGCTATTTTAAACATGAGGAGGAAATGCATTTTCAGTTACAAACATTTGCTCCGCTGAATCTGCTCTTATTTGTCAGCAAAAGACGGAGGACAGGATGTTTTACTTTGCTGCTCTGGTTTTTCTGTATTGCTTAAATTTGTTTAGAGAAAATGAAAGTAAACAAAGTTTCAGCTGCACAATTTCTATAAACTGAAGCAGCTCTCAAAGTGGAAAGAAAAGTATTTTACTACATTAAGATAATTTTCTTTTAATGCATTGGAGTACTATAGATTTGTTCCTTGAAGACTTTCCATACCCTGTGCGTGGAGCCTGCAGCAGACTCTAACGTTTGCACTAATACGAGTCCACTGGACACCCCTGAGCAGCCGCTTATCCTGGCCCTGTCTTTTCCAAGGACAACTGTAACTGCAAAAGCTTTTTAAGATGCATTCCCTAAAACATGAGCAGGTCAATGTTGAAGGCCACTTTAGATTTAGCAGAAGCTCAAAGCATGCTGTGTCATAATTAAATGTGTTCCCATTTTCACATACAACTCTAAGGGATTTTTTCTTAGGCACTTGGCAGACACAGCCTTCTAATCTGTTATGTTCCATTACACCTTTCAAAGAAATTGATTTTGGTCAAATTTCATTTTATCCTCTTTATAAAGGAGCCAGCAGTTCATTAATCAACTGAAAAACATTTCAGTAGAATGGCCCCCAAGATTAGCTCCTGGTAGGCTCCTCCAGATCCCTCTATTCTCTGTGCTGCCCAGTATGCCCCAAGTAAGGAAGACTCCTTCACCAAACTTCAGTAGACTCTTCTCAGTCCTATTCTAACTAAGCCTTGACACTGAGCCATCCTTGCTGGGTGCCCACAGTCCAGTTTTAGCATTTAGTTTAGACAGCATTCCTACATTGATAAGCAATCACCTTAGCCTATCTTTAACAAGAATCCCCCTACCCTTGACGTTGCTTCTTAGTAATTTTCCATCCAACCCCCCGTTTTTGCTATAAGTCCCCAGCTGTCTTTGCTATATTCAGAATTGAGCTCGCACTTTCTGCCCTACAGATAATCTTGACATCTATCACAATAGTCCTGAATAAAATCTTCCTGACTGTTTTAACAAGTGTTAGAATATTTTTTACTTTAACAAGCTTCAGAGGCAATGAAATGCCCTGACAAGAGACTGGAGGGAGGAAAGAAAAGGAGATCTGGGCACTTATTCCCTTGCCTTTCCCCTAGAAGCGTTCAGGGCTCAATTGAAGATCTCAACTCCTGTAGGCTGGCCCTGTTTTCCACTGCCATCAACTGCCTCCCACTCCCTACCCCTTCAGCCCTATGGGTGGCAGTTGAAATTCATTACTAGCTCCAGTGACACTACCCCTGTCCTAGTGGTTTTCCATTATCCCTGTCAGTTATTAACTCTCTTCAAAGATTCGCAATTTAAGGATGTCATTTGTTTCCTGTTGGGTCTCCCTAACACAAGTGTTATCTGACATCAGTTCCTTATGCTAGAAAGGTGGGCATGGGTAGAGAAAGCAGAGAGATGGATTTCTGGGTAACGGACTCAGTGACTTGCACAAGATGACGCTGTTAAGCTACCACTTCTCCCTCCCTTATTTTCATAATTATAGTAACAGTATCTTCTCAACATCAGTAAAGATTATTTTAAGAAGAAATAGCCAGGGAAGCTGTACTAGTTGAAATTAACTGTGCTAGAATCCTAAGGCAGAATTTCTCTGCCTGTATTTCTATCTGGTACTTATATCCAGAGGGCACTTCTATAACAACACTTCTAATAAATGCAAGGAGAATTTTTTGGTAATACTAGGGGTTGAGCCCAGAGCTGCTTCCCCAGCCCTTTATTTTTTGTTTGTTTTCGAGACAAGGGTCTCACTATGTACTTCGGAATGATGTTGAACTCAGTATGTAGCCCTGGCTGGCCTCGAACTCATGATAATCCTCCTGCCTCAGCTTCCCCAGCGCTGGGATTATATGTATGCACCCATGCCTGGTTCTTACCTAGCTTTTTTTTTTAAAAAAATTTTTTTTTCTTTTTTTTAAATATTGAGACAATGTCTCAAGTTGCCCAGGCTGGGTTGAAACTTATGATCTTCCTGCGTTATGGCATGTGCCACAATGCACAGGCCACCATGCACCAGCCAAATACATGTTTAATAATACTACATAAACTGTGACAAATCTAGCAACCCACATCAAACCTCCTCAAGGCTGACTTTGTATGTAATCTAGAGAAATATGTATCAAATTCAGGTACTGTAGACTGCAACATCAATTTAGCAGGTCATAACATTTTCTTTCATAACATTTTTTAAATGACACAAATCATGCAAAAATAGAAAATAGAAAATCAGAGTGAATTACATGTAGTAAGAGTAAATATCATTTCACCACAGGGGTGCACACCTGTAGTCCCATCATGTGAGCCCAGGAATTTGAGGTGAGCCTAGGCAACAGAGAAAGACCTTCTCTCAAAAAGGATAAAGGAGCCAGGGATTTAGCTCAGTGGTTCTGCCGCCTGCCTCAGAAGTGCAAGGCCCAGAGTTCAATCCCTGGTACCAAAAAAAAAAAAAAAAAAATTGTAGCTCAGTGGCAGAGCACTTGCCTAAAATGTACAAGACTCTAGGTTCAATTCTTAGCACTGAAAAAATACAATTTCACGTGTGTACGTGGCACCAAGGACTAAGCTCAGGGCTTCACACTGAGTTACATTCCTAGCCTTTTTTATATTTCTAGACAGGGTCTCCCTAAATTGCCCAGGTTGGGCTTAAACTTTCAATCCTCCAGCCTCAGTCTCTCATGGTGTTCAGGATTACTGGTCTGCACCACCACACCTGGCTCTTTTTTTTTTTTTTTTTTTTTTTTAAATTGCATTTTCAGACAAGGTTTCACGAAGTTGCTCAGGTTAGCCTCACTTCAAGCATTGTACCTGAGCCACCTGAACAGCTGGGATTGCAGGCCTATGCTACTGTGTCCCGCTGCAGACCCCAACCCTCCCCAATCTTAGGGACAACCTAACGCCTTCGTACTAAGCCACATTTCAAGCCCCCTTTTTTTTTTGAGATGAGGACTCATTAAGTTGCCCAGCCTGGGCTCAAACTTACAATCCTCCTGCCTCAGCCTCCTAGACTGCTAGAAGTACAGGTGCGCACTACAACATCCAGCTTACAAACTTACTTTTGTGGTTGTAACAGGGCATAATGTAGAATGTATTCAATACAATGGTGGCAATCCAGAAAATCTGAAAGTTACTGGTCTAAAAAGAACCTCTTTCAAATAAGAATAAACACATGTGGCTTCAGACTGTAGATGCACAGTTTTCCTCAACCCTTACTAAAAAATATCTGTCACCCAGTTAAGTATGTAAGTAACTAAAAATTTCCTATAAAATAGTATTTACTCTTACTACATATAATGTACTAATATTTTAGCTAATGAGTGTAAACTATAGTTTGCAAGAGTACTGGCCTAGAGTATCGACATGGCCAGGTCTGGAGAATTTTGTTCATATTCCATGAAGTTCTCATTCTCTACAGCTACCTTCGTCTGCTTCCACATCACTTCCACTGTGGTACAAGCAGCCAAAGCCCTTGCTCTTGCGGAGGTGTCTGTGTAACTACTATGTCGCTCTAGCTACCTGGGCACTCCAAAGGGGAGAAATACTCTAGGCAGGCAGATCAAGAGTACACAGCAGATACGAATGATGTAGCAGATATGGAGGATCCAGTGCCATCCTGTCTCCTACATTAATCATGGCAATTGATTCAAGCACCTGCAGCTCCCAGCCCAAGGACAGAGAGCAGGGAATGTGTGGAAACAGCTGAGCCAAAGTCTTGCCAGAGCTGAGGTAAACACTGCAGCCTCCTCGCCCCTTGCTTGTCCTTTACAGTCTCCTGAGTTCCCCAGCAGGACACAGTAACCCACCTGAGAACTCTTCAGTAGCTGCCTCCCTTCCGGGGCCTCCTGGAATCACCTCTCACACAAAGAACTTATGCTCAAACCTCTGCCTCAGGATCTGCTGGTGGGTAAGTGCATCTGAGAGCAAGCCACTGTAACAGTGCTTTCAGAGCCAAGGCTACAAAGGTGAGACAAGCTTGCCCCAGGAGAAGCTCAGAAACTACTCAATGGGGGAACAATTTCTAACTAAAGGGTCAGAGAGGCCAGTTTAGCAGACTTGTTCTACCCCAAACACCAGGGGTGTTAACAACACAGAGCCTGCCCTGTAGGAGTCAGCTGCATGGTCAGGGATCCGCATGGGATGTGGACTATGTTCACTCTTTCATGGACGGATGGCAACCTTAAGCTTTTCTTATTCACTGTGATGCTTTACTTCTTACATATAGGTTAAAAAGAATTCTAGTCTGCAGGTATAAATAACTAGTAATATGGAAAATACCAAAAGAGAAAACAAGTTCCTGACAATACGTTAAAAGAACTATTCATAAACCATCTTTGACTTTTCTTCTTTGAGATAGGGTCTTGTTATTTTTCCCAGGTTAACCTCAAACCTCTGGACTCAAACATCCCCCTGCCTCAGGCAGGGACTAGACAGATACACCACTAGCTGTGACTAGACAAATGCAACACTGTCCTCAGTTTGACCTTTTTATGTTCCTACAAAGTTATGGGGGATGGGAACTAGTACTCAGTCCAAATATTCAGTGAAAATTCTGCACTACTACTACTGTCAATCAAAAAGGATTATGGATGATGTAAAATTTACATGTTCAGCTCTGTAGTCAACACTAAATCTGGGCTTCTTTCAACAATAAACTTATGCCTCACTTTCCTTTGCATCTTCTATCTTGGCAAGTATTTCAGCAAAGGCAGACAGCAGCAGCATAATTTCTTCTCACGAAAAAAGTCATAGCTGCAGATAAAGCAGGTCCTCACACTGAAAACGGCTATTTCAGCATGCCAACTACCCCTGGGACTGAGACTTAAGTACTACTCACCCTGACCCAGCAGAGAGTGACGGCACAGATGAAGGGACATTAGCCTGTGGTTTTTCTTTCTCATTTTGCTTGAAGAAGGACTTGGCTTCTTTAGATGTAGCATCTACTTCCTTAGTTACCCTGTTCCAAGCAAAGACACACCAAATTTACAAAAACAATATGGAGAGAGAAACAAATTTAAGAAAAAGGAAAAAGATGACAACTAGGAACATATCCACCACTGGGCTTTTAATAAACTATGGATGCAGGAAAGATGGGGAAAGAAAGGAAAAGAAAAGATATGAGAAAAGGAAAAATTGGAAACAAAGTCTCTGTAAATAGGGAAGGGTGGAGGGGATAAGGGAGGAGAGGGGAATGAGGAAAAAAAAAAAACCAAGAAACTTCATGTAAAGGTATAAGAGCCCAATGATGAAGGTAACTGTACTATATACTTAAAAAGTACCAATAAACTTAATTAAAAAAAAAAAACTATGGATGCTGAACTTTGTATGATTAAAGTTTACTGTAACATTGCTTCTTGGCCTTTTGGCTAAAATCTAGTGTAAAGTTCACTATAACAATTCTAGACAATTTCCCCGAATAAAATAAATAATACAACACTGTATATGAATTTTATTTCCCTGAAACCTCTCTATTACATTTATCAAGATGAATATTAAGGTTTAAATCTAAAATGGCCCCCAGTCTCAGGTGTTTGGAAAGAGACTGGATTATGGACGAACTACAGCTGCCTTGCTTTCAGGAGGTGGGGTCTGATCAGAAGAGGCAGGTCACTGTGGGGTTAACTCAGAAGGGTGCATCTCTTTTCCAGGCTCCTCCCTTCACTCTCTCTGCTATGGAGTGAACAGCTTGCCTAAGCCCAGGCCCTGCCACCATGATGCTTCTGCCTGGAGCCAGCAGCCCATGGAAGGACTGAAACTTCTCAAATGTGAGCCAAAGTTGGTAAGGTGGTACATGCTGGTAATTGTAGCACTTGGGAGGACAAGGAAGGAGGATCACCATAAGTTCAGGGCCAACCTAGACTACATAGTGAGTTCAAGGCCAGTCTGAATTACACAGAGAGACCGTCTTAAAAAAAAATGTGAGCCAAAATAAACCTCTGTTTCTTTAAGCTGAGGTGCTGAGTGTTTTGTCAGAAAGCAATTAAGACAAAGAGGCACATTCCAGCCGTCACCGCTGAGTCTCAGTCTGAAAAAGGCCCTCACACTGTACATCACATGTACATCAGGCATCAGACTCAAAGGTCCAGTGAAGTGAAGTGTGGAGACAGAATATTGGGAAGAAAAAAACAAAAGAATTATTTAAAAAAAGAAAAGCAATGTTATAAACATTAGAAATACGCTACAGGAGGCTCCTTTCTGTTCTGCACATAAAACCACCCAATGACAAAACAAAATCTCTTGAAAATGGATAAATTTGAAATGGCAGAATGCACCTTGAGGGCTAGGGATGTACCTCAGGGGTGACACACCTGTCTGGCAATTGCAAGGTCCTGAGTTCGATCCCTAGTACCAAAAAAAAAAAAAGAATAATGACAGGTAAATCCTATAAATTCTACCTCTGAGAAAATTCGATTATCTGTTTATTCACCTTCTGGTCGCGGAAAGACTCTTTTTAAGAGTCATCTCACTTCTGTACTTAGTACTGTGCCATGTTTGGTTTCACTGTTATTCGTTTTACAAAGCACTGATGAGGCTTTGGTAGTGGCCACATAAGTAAACATTTTCTGAAATAGCCACACAGATCCTGGCACCATGTTAGATGTTAAACTTATAAAGATATATGATATGGCCTCTGCCCATAAGGAGCTCACAGTCCGGCAGGCCAGAGAATGTCAGGAGAACCATGGTGACACATGCTACCTAGCAAGGGCCACAGAGAGGACAAGGAAAAAATACAACCTGTGGGAATATGTTCCTTGGTTTCTTAGAGCTAAAGTCTTATCCATACTGGTTAGGAAACAAATTATATAAAGGGTACATTCCCCAGGGACTCTGATAACTGACAGTAGTATTAGCCAATGAATCAGCACTGACAGTATGCCTCCCACCCCCACCAGCACTGAAGATTGAACTCCAGGGAGCCCAACACTGAGCTACCCAGCCTTTCTGGTCTTTTATGACAAGTTCTTGCAAAGTTGCCCAAATTTGGAATCCTCCTGTCTTGGTCTTCTGAAGAGTTCCACTTCTAACAAGCTATAAGAGATGTGGCTGTCGAAATATCTTCTAACAGGAGAATAGTTATGTTACAGACCACTTCCTGTAAGAAGCACCCCTGACAGGGAAAAGCCTATTATTAACATTAATTTAAGTGTTCTCAGCAGAAATTCCATTTTAACATCATTTTTACTTACTCAGTACTTCCTGAAATTCTTTACTTGGGGAGAAACTTTCCATGACTAGCCTTTTCCAAATGATGAATCAGGTAGCAAAGTCTAAGCTAATCTGGCACAGCTGGTTATATGACAGGAAGGATAAAAAATACTATTTCCCCTCATTACCTGCGTTATTATACTATAGACTGTTCACGCAGGGAAACATAAAATGGCAAAAATCCAAAGTTTAACAAGTGAAACATATTTAAAGAAGACTGACTTGTGCTAACACTACCTTATGCTTACGCTTCGCAAATTCTTCCCAGTCATCACTTGCTTTCTCACAAATTTTAAAGATGCAGTAATGTCCTTAACTTGATACAAAGAGAGAAAAAGCAGAATATCATGAGATTAAAAAATGTTCAAATCCACATGCCAAATCTGTATATAGGTGTCAATTAAAATTTTATCACTCAAGGTCCCCCAAGAGAATTCTTTATAACACCTAATTCCAGTACAGTATAAATTAAGGGAAAAAACTCTGCTAACACGTCAACTACTGTTTTTGTTCTCTTTAGGGACAGGCAGGAAGTTAAAGAGATCTTCCACATGCTCTATTATGTATTTCTGTAATGCATGACTTTTAAAATAATAAACGTACTGATTTTGAAATATAAATACAATACACATGTGAGAGTACAGAATTTATGAGTGTTCACTTTTCTTTGCTTTCTTTTTGACATAGGCATGGGGCTGCCCTCTTCTGGCCAATGGTAGAATACCAATCCACTATTTTAAATTTCCAATTTCCATCCATTTGCTTTCAAAAATGAAAAGAGACCTCAGCAGGTTGCAGGAAAAAAAAGAAAAGAAAAAGAAACCTGTGACATAATACAATTATTAATGTATTTAGCCAGGCCGGGTGGTACAAGCCTGCACTTTCAACACTCTAGGAAGCTGAGACAGGAGGATCATAGGTGTAAGTCCAGCCTGAATACTTTAGGAAGGCCCTGCCTCAAAAATTTAAAAAGGGCTAAGGATGTAGCTCAGTGGTACAATGCTTTTAGGTTCAATCCCCAGTACTACCACCAAATCTGTTACAGAGATATGTGAATAGAAGCATAAATTTTGTTTGTTTGTTGTTTTGGGTACAGAGGATCGAACTCTGGGCCCTGAGAATACAAGTTGGTTTTTATTGTTTTTTGTTTTTTGTATCAGGGATTGAACTCAGGACCTTGCGCTTGCGAGGCAGGTGGTAGTACCAATGAGCTAAATCCCCAGCTTTTGTTGTTTTTTAAGACAGTGTCTCCCTATGAAGTTCAGACTAGCCTTGAAATCACAGTAATCCCCCTGCCTCAGTCTGCCTTGCCCAATTTTTAGTTTTTATTAGTACCTTTTCTTGCTATTTTCTGGTATGGAAATCTCACCATGTTGTCCAGGTCAGTCTCTGACATGAAGGCAAACTGATCTCCCACCTCAGCTTCTCAAGTAGCTGGGAATATAGGCATGTACTTCCACACTCAGCATTTAAAGCAATTTCATTAAATTTGGGATTATTTTTACTTTTGCACAAAACAAAGCTGGTCCTGTTGTATTTTCAAAGTTCTTTTTTCCAGTACTGGGGACTGAAGTCTGGGCCTTTGTACTGTTATAACCCCAGCACTTTTAAAAATATTTTATTTAGGGCCAGGCATGTTGCCACACACCTATAATCCCAGTACTTGGGAGGCTGATGCGGGGTGACTGCCCAAATTTGAGGCCAACCTTGGTTCCATAGTGACATTTATCATCAGCTTTCTGCTTATCACATATAAAGAGAATAATTTAAAAGGTGAATGTATGGTGTGAATTTACATAATTCACAGTTTTACAACTATATTAAGTACAGTATCTTTATATTTTCTGGTTTTGTTTTCCTTTGGTAGCAGATTTTTTTGATAATAGAAGCAGGGTTTAACTTATGTTCTAGTACAACTTTTTTTTTTTTTCTGGTACCGGGGATCAAACTTGGGTCCTTGTGCTTGTGAGGCAGGCAGCGGTCTAGTACAATCTCTTAATTCAAAATGTTTGTCTTGTCTTAGATCTGCCCCACTGGAACACACTCTTCTAACAAACTCCAAACTACATCTGTTGACAGTGTAATCCTAGTTTTCTCCTTCCTCTTCTTCTCCTTCTTCTAGTATTTGTGATCCTAATTTTATTATACAGAATATTCTGTATCATCTGAATGTTTAAATCACAGATATGACAAAAGCAGTATCTGGCTTTCTCCAAGTTACACTGAAAAAATACTAACTTTATTGTAAGCCATCAGGATCATAAGCCAGATCCTGAATACTTCAAGCTGTGGTGTCACAGTAAAGTTGCATGTGAACCTAGTGTGATGGCACATGCGTGTAATTCTAGCACTCAGGAGACTAAGACAGGAAGATGGTTGTAAGTTTGAAGCCAGGGTCTGGGGATTTAGCTCAGTGGTTCCGCCATCTGCCTTGCAAGTGGAAGATCCCGAGTTCGATCTCCAGTACCAAAAAAAAAAAAAAGTTTGAGGCCAGCTCGAGCTGCATAGTGAATTGAAGGGGTAAGCCTGCATTACACAGCAAGATCCTGTCTCAAAAAAAGAAACAAACAAGGGCCTGGGATTTAGCTCAGTGGTTCTGCTGCCTGCCTTGCAAGCACAAGGACCCAAGTTCAATCCCCAGTACCAAAAAAAAAAAAAATAAAGAAAAAAAGAAACAAGCACAATAATAAGAATAATGATGATGACGATGATGATAAAATTGAACTTGAACCACCTTCTATGCCACAA